AGGTCCACAGATCTAGTGGCGCTTCCAGCAGTTGATTGTGACAAGGCATATGCAATGCAGTTATCACTGGAGGAGACATTACTGACGAATCAAACTGTATATTTCCAAGTTGCTTTGCTGTATCCTTTCACCAAAATTGCGTCACATCAATTCATCATCTTAGCTTAATACTTGCTTTCTGGATACAGCACTGCTGATTTGCAAAACATAGTTTTTTAAAGAACGTTTTTCTTATTCCCGTGTGAAAATGAGTCTTTTTTAGAACTTTTTTATTTTACTAATGCGACCAGGATAATCCGAGAACATATCTCCATTTGATTGTTTCTAGTCCTGATTCCATGGCCAGGTAGAGATATTTCCCACTTAGGCAGGGATTTTCCCAAGTTTGCAGTAGGCTTGTTATCCGTATCTCCTTTTCACTAAATTATATTTGCTGACATTCTGTCAGTTCTGTTTGAGAGAATGCTTAACCTTACTAGGTGACTGGTGGATGGGTGATTGTGCATTTCCTTAACTATATAAAGATATACTGCCTCTTGTGGAGAGAGGCGTATAAGAGTACACACTGCCGCTGCCCCAGTTGTCTCAGATTTGGGGGAGATGTATCGTCAGGCTGACAATGGTGCTATTGTTTCTTTGCTTAGTCGTCTAGGTAATTGCAGATTGCACTTTTGTTGGCTTTTTGTACCAATTTTCTTTCGGATTGAGGATATACATATTCTGACCTTTCTAATAAATTTCAGCAATCGAGAAAACAATGTCCAGTAAACTGGAGGATGCTCGCAGTAATGTACATCTAAGGATTGTCAAAGCTCTCAGGGAATACCGAAATCTTTATGCTGTACAACATCGGTTAGGAGGTCGGCTGATATATCCAGAGTCTTTGAAGTTCCTACCATTGTATGGATTGGCCCTCTGTAAATCAACACCGCTCCGAGGAGGATATGCAGATGTTCCACTTGATGAGCGATGTGCTGCAGGATTTACAATGATGGCATTACCTGTTAAAAGTTTGTTAAAACTTTTGTATCCCAGCTTAATTCAACTAGATGACTATCTCTTGAAGGTGAGAGGAAAATTATCCCTGGATCTGTCATATAGTTTCTGTTTTTCTTTTTTTCCGTTCATTTTTTGTGAATATAAAGTCCTGTGCAACATCTTTTGTGCAGCCATCTGCCAATGCCGATGAGTTTAGAAAGGTGATGAAGAGATTGCCTCTGACAGCAGACAGCCTTGATTCTAGAGGCCTTTATGTATACGATGACGGCCTTCAGCTAGTTCTATGGTTTGGAAGAATGCTATCACCTGATATAGCTATGAACCTATTGGGGCCAGATGCTGCAGCTGAGCTATCAAGGGTATGCTGCCTTTACTCTTTGTAGTGTATCCATTTAAAACTTACGTTGCTGCTTTTCATGGATGCCACTGGTCGCGCGAGCCGCGAAGTATCACTGAATACTGATCGTCCTATTGAATACTGGTCGATCTTCTTATTGCCTGATGTTGACTGACCCTATTATGATTCTACATTATTGATCAGGTTACACTCGTGGAGCGTGAAACAGAAATGTCAAGAAAGCTAATGCTATTGCTCAAAAAGTTAAGGGAGAGCGATCCGTCGTACTATCAGTTGTGTCATCTTGTGAGGCAAGGTGAGCAACCCAGAGAAGGCTTTATGGTACTCACAAAATTAGTGGAGGACCAGACAGGCGGGACAAATGGTTATGTTGACTGGTTGGTCCAACTACATCGGCAGGTCCAACAAAATGCCTGATGCATCATCTGGTACGCCTCTCTAATTGTTGTATGTTTTGCGCAATGGGAGGGAAGAACACATGCATTACTGTTTGATAGAAGTAATTCTTTTATCTGATAATTGTGTTTAACCAAAATCCGCGGAGAACGATATTACATTTAGGTTGATGTGGGTTTTGATGGTTACTTGGGAGGAGGAAATTAACATACAATGTCTTCAAACATTCTGCATGTATGCAGTACCTTGGTCTGTTTTGCTACACCAGATGCAGTGTGGATGGAGAGAGGAAGGATCTTCATTTGTAAAAGCATATAGAATAACTTAGTTTCTGCCGTCGGCAGCAGCCCCTTATGGAGCGAAACGTGGGACGAAAAGTGCTGCGAGAGGGGGCTAAGCTTGGTAACCACAGAACAGCAAGATTGATAAGAGGCAAAATTCAATTGGCAATGCCCACCATGGGGATTCAATAATGTATTTATTTGCATTTGGGGTATGTACTTTTTTTGGTTGTGGGTGCCACAATTTTCTAGTTGATGCAGAAGCAATACAGAAATTGGGAACGAGAAAAGGGAAATTTTTGCGTGTAGATTGTTGCCCGGCGTCGTGCTTTTACTTGATTGTTAATGTGAAAACTACCTTCAGTCATGTTTAGGGTTTAGCCGGTAGAGCCTTCTAATTAGTTGCTATTTTTATGTGTACCCATGATCAGGGAATTTGCCTGTTGGTAGTTTGAGTATTGTGTTACCACTCTACCCTTACGTCTCGTTATAAACCACTTATCGCTACAAACATTATGTATATTTTAGTTTCATGTTATGGATTATCCTTTTTTTATAGGATCATTAATCTCCACAAATATTATGTATATTTAGGTTTTAATTCATTGACTATCCTAATGCTAGGACTTACACACGGGTAAGTATCAAATCATTTTAATACATTAGATTGTTCCTTTGCACCCAAATTCTCAATAACTAGTGTTTCAAATTCAAGAACCCTCTTCTTACTGTTTGGTGAAAACGTTAGGAAAGGTAAATGAAATTTACCCGTGCTACCCAAAACAGGTAATGGAAAAGAGACATAGAAAGTGGGGAAAATGGAGGATGATGTGATGAACACAACATGTGAGTGTCCTTTTGATTTTGACAATACAGAACATGTGATGACTGATGAGAGGATGTTAATGCAAGAACAATTCAACATTAATAAAATACTTAGCCCGTTTTCTTAATATATATAAGGCTATAATTGAATAGACCAATTTTTACTATAGTCTAAATTAAAGTATTGGTACTTTGAGATACATATTGACTTGTACTATAACGTTGAAGTTACAAGTTTAATTTGTATCATAAATGAATTTGTATTTTTTATGTTATGACACAAATTTAGTTTGTATTAACATACATGTACAAATTCAGTTTGTACTATATATTTGTAAAAAAAGGTAAATGTACTAACTGATTTTAATTGTACCATAACATTACATATACAAGGTAGTTTTACTTTTAACCACAAAGAGTTTTTTTTTCCCATGTAAAGTGTAAACCAAAACAAAACTAGTTCTCATAATTGAATTGCGGAAGAAAGAAAGATGAACAAATATAGGATTATTGCCGACACTAGTGTCCATGTATACAAACTGGAGTACCAATGTACAACATTCAACGTTAATATTTTCAAAACTCGACATAATTTTGAAATGTGACAATATCGAGTGAAAAAGTTAATTTCAGATCGTATTAAAATAAAATATTTTCACTTCGATTTAATTCAAACTTGAGTCTCAACCACTATCATACTTTCTCTCTATGTTTGAGCATGAGAACTTAAAATAATTAAGGGTAATCTCTATTTTTTATCCAAATATTTTCAGATTTTTTTAATATTATTCAGACCTATTAAAATGTTATTAATTAACCAAATCTTTCATAATACATCAAAATATTAACCATTTTTAGTTAATAATTTTGTAACTCGTTTTTTATTTTATTTTATGAATCGATGAGATCTTTATTCATCAAAAAAGGTTGTTAGCAACTGCCCTGCTAACTAGGCTTAATCAACCTATAAGTACGAACAAAGCAAGAACAAAACCTATCAAAATGGAATCTCTAAGGCAGATTAATTAACCAAAACAAGGAGACCCTCTGTAAACCCAACACACACTCTATCTCTCCCTGAATAGCTTTCAACAAGACCTGATAATCCTTAACTTCTCATGCATACAGGCTCCTGCATCGCTCTCTCCATATGTGGCTCACCCACGCCGGCCAGATAACCCGCCCTGATTGGCAAAGACAACATGATAGATCACCCGAGAATCCCCATTTCAATATCTTCCTTTTTGTGTTAATGCTTACCCTGACTACCAGCCATGTGATAACCCTGTTTCTAGGAATAGCCACTCCCTTCCACAAGATTTTCCACCATGGTACCCGTTGCTGATAAGGACGAAGTGACTTCCAAACCTTCCTGATTGAGTATCGAGGCACAACAGCATTATCAAACAAGATGACATTATCACAGACTGAGATCATTGCTTCCACCCTACTCCTCATCTTCAAGAGCTTCCTCCAGTTCTATGATCCTGATGTACAGGAATAGGACCAGAGATCCCTGCTCTTCAATTTATATTGAGTGATCCACGCCACCCATAGAGAGCCTTCCTGCAATAATATTAACCATATGTGTCGGATCATACAGGCCTAGTTCCAACTATACATATCCCTAAAATTCTTTTATAACTCTTTGCTTAGTTAAAATACTAAAATTTTGGAATGTTGACCTTCATGTGTCTCTTCCAAGTCAGTATTATATTGACAAAAAAATTTGTTAACTGAAAGTTAATATTCCATTGATTCTTAGTATTTCAATAGATTTGGATAATATAAAAGAATTTAAAAAAATTGGATAAAAAATAGAAATTACCCAATAATTAATTACATCTGCACTACAAAAGAAAGGTGAAGTCGCGCAAAAGTTTGGTACAAAACATAACACATGCATCAGTACTCGATCTAGGAACCATTGCACCAAATAGTTAATCTCTCCTTTAATTACCTTGTTCACAACACAACACATCATGTTCAATGCAATAGAATAAGTGGCCACTAAATTTAAATTTTCCAATTGGCGATAATGCCTCCTTTAAATATCCTTTACCACTCCATGCATTCGCCCCTCCAAAAGGACAAAAAGAACGAATCAAATCAAACTCAACGAGCCCACAACGTACAATAACATGCCTTCTTCCTTACCATTCCCTTTCACTCCACTCCTCCTCGTACTCTTAACCGCCGCCGCCGCCGTCCCATCTCAGCCGTCGCCGCTGGTCCATGACATCTGCAACCAAACCTCCTTGCCCTCTCTCTGCGTGGAGGCGTTCTCCGCCGACCCACAAACCGCCACCACCACCACCAACGAGACCACGATGGTCGGTACAGCTGTCCGGCTGGTCGGCAACACATCCGGTTCGACCTACATCTACATCTCCGACCTCACGAACCAACCCGTGGGCCGGGCCGGTCAAAAGCGGCTGCACATATGCGAGATGTGTTACCTGTCGGTCAGTTACGACATGTTGCTTCTCAGCAGCGCGTTGAGCGACAAGTCGTACGGCGCGCTGGCGTCGCAGGCGGCGGAAGTGGCGGCTCAGGCCAGGAGATGCGACGCTGCGTTTTCGAAGTCCACGTGGCAGCCCATGGAGAATCGGAACAAGATGCTGGTGGTTCTTTGCGAGGCTATTAGGGTTCTTTGCCGCTCCATCGGTCAATAACTGTCGTCGGTTATTGGATTAAAGAGGGAGGGTTATTAAGTGGAAATGTAGAATCAATTAGCGGTTAAGTTAAAAATAACGTGGTACGTACGTGGTTATATGTACTGCATGCATGTTTGAGTTAAATCCTCAAATTAATAAGGCTTTTGGGCTTGTGAGTCCATATTAAACGAATAAGCCTTTTGGGCTTGTGAGCCCATTTTTATTTGACAAGAGGAAATGCAGGCCCGGCCTTCCAGTTTCCAAGGCTGAAAAAGAAGCGCGGGAAGGAAGTATAGGAATCGAGTAGTTTATTAGCATTTGCTGAAATTCCCGCCAGATGTAGACGATAGTGACGGGATGGCCTTCAAGTTGAATTCCGCCGCCCCAAGTTTCTGTCTCTTTGTCTTTGGGATGAATCGCAGCTACCTCTCCTCTCTTTCTTCCCTCTCCACTCCCGACTCGAACCCAGCTGCTCATCTACCGCCTCTGCCTCACGGCTATTTACTCACCTCGCTGGAGTGCAACATGCAAGCAAGCTGTTCGACGAAATGCCTCACCGAACTTTTTCATACCCACAATCCGTGTTCCGCTTGGCCTTGTGCACAATCGTGTGTTTCTGCAATCTGGAAGCTCGTTTTCGGCTATGAATGACTCAACCTTTGTCGCTGATCCCCCCCCCCCCCTCCGCGATCTGTGGCCTTGTCGAGGTTGGTAAATGGGAATGTCCACAAGGCTGGTCATGTTTTTGATCGCATGGTGCATAGGGATAGAGATGTCATCTCTTGGACCAGTTTGGTTTCCGGCTGTTTAAAGATTGGGGATGTCGATGAGGTTCTTTTTCCGTTTCATCTAATGTCGGACAAGAATGTGGTATCCTGGACGGTTACTGTTGCGGGTTGTAAGCAGAATGGTCACATTGATCAAGCTCGTCAATTTTTTTGATCTGAAGCCTCATAGAAATGTCGTTTCTTGGACTATAAGGGTCAATTCGTGCACTGACGTGGACCAAATTGATGAGCCTTGTCAAGTTTTCAACTTGACGCCTCAGAGAAATCCATGTTCTTGAAAAATTATGCTGTTCGGTTTTCTTTCTGCTAATAGACTGGACGAAGCAGTTCAGCTATTTAATTCCATGCCTCAGAAGAATGAGATATCTTGGATGACAATGGTCAGTAGTCTGCCAAGCACGGGATTTTGATGGAGAATATTTTAATGCAATGCCTACAAAGGACACAGACGCATGGAACTCCATGATCACAGCATATGCTGAACATGGCATTGTAGCTGAAACTAGTAAGCTTTTCACTTCTTTGCCAATAAAAAATATTGTTAATTGGAATGCTGTACTAGATGTGTATGCAAGAAATGGTTCTCAAGGTCAAGCCTTGCATCATGTCTCCCTGATGCTGCAATCGAGTTGCAACCTGTATGAATCTTCTCTGACTAGCATCTTGTCTTCCTGCAACTCCATATTGGAGCTCATACAGACTCGTGCCTTGATTGTCCTTCATGGGTTTGAGCTTTACTTATTTCTAGCGAATGCTCTTGTCACCGCTTATTCCAGATGTGGGGATCTCCAATCAGCTAGGTTTGCTTTTTACCAGATCGAATTCAAGGACAGTTTCTCAGACTGCAATGCTTTTAGCTTACTCAAACCATGGATATGCTCAACATGCACTGCTAGTTTTTGCACACTTACACTTTCTGAGATCTGGATGCAAACTGAAAAAATTGCATATCTTGGAGTCTTATTAGCGTGTAACCGCGCAGGTCTTGTCTAGAGAGGTCAACAGCTTTTTGATTCAGTGAGTGGTATATATGGAGTAGAACCAAGTGCTGAGCAGTATTGGTGCCTTGTGGACATTCTAGGTAGGGCAGCAAGTGAGTAAAGTCATGGAAGTGGTTTCTAAAATACTGCAGCATGAGCTCGTTGGTGCTGTATTACGAGCATTGTTGAGTGCTTGTAGATTGCATGGGGATGTGGCAGTGACAACTCAGATGGTTGACGAGCTAAACAAGTTGGAACTAACAAACTCTGGGCGTTACGTGCTGTTGGCTAATATATGGACCAGGTAGTAAGTTGAGTGAGTTTGCACAATTAAGAAAAAAGATGAAGGAATGTGATGTCAAGAAAGAACCAGGCTTTAGTTAGATACAGAGTGTAGGGAAGAATCATATGTTTTTGGTTGGAGACGGATTCCATCCGCAAGCTAAGGAAATCTTTAGCTTCGTTAAGGAGATGATGCTACCCATGATCAAAGAGTGCAATGATGATGCTCCAACAACCATCCCTGAACTAGCGTATCAAGATGATATTCCATTGAGGGCATAGGTGAAGTGGCTCGGAATCATTTCTTTTCCCGATCAATGGATTCACTTGTTAGTATGTGATGGATAACTTATTTTCTGATAGTTCAGGGAAACTAAGTTGAATCACTGATGAGAAAATCAGATAGAAAAGAATTGAAATTTCCATTAATTGTATGCGTTGTTCCATGTCCATATAGAATCATTTTATACACCCTTATACAGACTTTTCTATTTTTGTATTCTGCGCAGCTTGCAGCTTGGTTGGTTTGGACACGCCTATCAGACGCCTTCCAGAAATTGTTGTGCTCATAAATGGACGTAGACGTCTCGAACTTCTGGTTGTCATCTCACATTCTGTAGCCATGCAAATGCTTAGCCCATCTTCTAGCCATGTACGGATTATGGTAATCCCAGCTCTCAACACTACTAGTCCTTCCACTAACCATACTCGCATCCCTCTCAGAAGCTTCCACGTCACTACCATGAGTCTCACTTTTCTCTCCTAAACTCACCACAGCTTCGCCTGTCCTTGTACATTCATCAATCCCACCCTCATTGTAGCTGTACTCCACTGAGATCACCTCCCCATAATCTCCCAAATCCAACAGGAACCGCCTCTCTTCACCACCTCTAAGGTCACCAAGCTTCATGATCTTGCTCCTATCGCCACCGATTCTCAGCTGAACATCTCTTATAACACCTCCAAGTATCCCCCCCAAGAAGTCCTCAAACTCATGCATCACGAACCCATTCGAAGCACCAAACCCGAATCCCACATGGAACCGATGGACCGGAAATGAAGTATGCAGAGCTACAACATGACATGCTCTTGTTGGTGTGTCCGAAAGATGCAAGATGCCGCAATGTGGGTTCTTGTGTGCACGATCTTCCAGCACTTTGATCCCCTTCTTCAGCCCTTCACTTGGATCAGCTTGCCCCATGTAGAATATCCGGTCGATGACTTGAAGTGCTGTTCTTTTGCCGTATGACGTCATTCGCCTCAGAGGGAAGACTCTGGCTGCAGCGGAGGAGTACGTCACAATGGACAAACGGTCGATCGGTCGAAGAGAGAAGACAACCAATGCCATGGACTGCTTGAGAAGACGTAAATGTGGACCATTGGGGCTAGCAACGAGGACCAAGTCGGTTGCTGGTTGGTTTATCAGTTTCACTGAAAGACAAGCAGTAGCTGTAGCATTAGCCGCTGTCATTCTTCTGTTGAAATGCGAAGATGATGTTCCTGGTAGAAGCTGTGAGTGATGTTGCAGGGAGAAATGAAGGCGGGAAATGGTGGGGATGTGGTCCGGGTCAACTGGGTCGTCGTCGTCGTAACGGGCGGAGCGAAGGAAGGACCGGCGGTGGACGCGGAAATGGGCTATGGACTCATCGAGGATCTGAAATACCGGGTCGTTTTGGGTGGAGGGAAGGCAACAAGGTGGGTTGTTGAGATTGCGGGGGAGTTGGGTCCAATGGGCCCGGCAGATGGGGCAGGTGACGCTGCCATGGCGGACGTTGGAGGAAATGCAGGCGAAGTGGAAGGCGTGGGAGCACTGAGCTGTGAATATGGCTTGACCTGGACTGTCCCCGTTGCTGTAGTTCAAAGCTTCTAGGCATATTGCACACATGCTCTGCTGCCACCAAACAGAAACAATAACACAAGGTTAGATATCACTAACAAACACACGGTTCGATACTCATTACTTGTTAGTCCTTTTTACATACACGCGTGCAATCTGTGGCTACAAGAATATGAAATTGGTCTAGTACTGATGTGGTCCTATTGTTAAGATTGTTTGTTTCGGCAGGACTTGGTGGGAATTCATGCAATCATTATTATAGGGGTTGTGGGGTGAAGGGACCTTTAAGGCAGTGGGATATGCAATGATGATGAGGGTTTAGAATGTTGAGATTGGTATGTAATTGGTATTAATTTAGAGCCAGTATAACGGTATAAGCATACGTACAGCTTCATTTTCTGGTGGTGATTTGAGGGAATAGAGATTTGTTGAATTTGAATGAATGAAGATGAACTTTTCCTACTGTAATTTTATATATTACCATAAAGAAAAGGGAGTAGCTAGCCTCATTTGTAAGAGAATAGAGTGGGAAACCAGGGAAGAATCTAGACCAGAAAAGTAGGTAGAAATAGGAAACAGAGAGGACAAAGCGAATATTTGTCAACATTGATCACTTGCTAAAGCAAGGGGGAAAGAACAGCAGGCCAAAGTTAAGGCATTGGATTCCTATAGTGAATGTAACGGCTGATGAATGCTTTTTACAACGGAAACAAACAGTTTTCTGCTTACCTTAGAATTCACGTTACTGGTAATGTTGCCCTTGAAGTTGTGGATGATGGTGTCTTGATCATCGTATTCCTCTGGACTATTTGTAGTTGAAGAGGCTGCTGTTGTTGGACAAACTGATGAGATCTGTCAACATAACTAGCAGAGTATTAGCTCACGCCTAACTAATTTTTTGAACAGGAAATTCATAGACAGGGACAGATGGAGAGAGAGAGAGAGAGCGAGAGAGACGAATCTGCCGATTTTCTGGTTGCATGATCAAAGACAGAAAATTTGAAGTATGAAATGACTGATAAGGCTTAACAAGGCCGAAGAACATACGCTAGGCACATATAGAAGATAAATACATGAATAAAGGAATATGCTTTATTATGCGTTTGATTGAGGAGGTGAAGAATGAATGAATGAGGAAAACTAACTAACAATAAACCCTGTCATGCAAGTTTGTTAGGAAAGGAGAAACCTTGGAGAATGCAGCAGCAGAAGAAAGATGGAATCGGGAAGAGAGAAGTGGAGTTGACGGACTGACTTACACTGAGAGAGGAAGAATGAATGGTAGAAGGAGGAAGAGGAGAAGAAGACATGGTAGAGGAGGAGAAAGAGCCACATGCTGCCACCACCATTTTCCGGGCTACCTTCTTCAGCTTTGAGCTTCTGGTACTTCCTCCTCCCATCACTGCTTCTGCTGTTGGTTTTATTTTTCCAGAATGAATTGAGTGAAATTAAGAACAACAGTATAGGCTTCTGGGTATTGAAACTGAAAGTGGGAGATTTATGTGGGTATATATAACAAGGGGAAGGGAAGGTGTTTGATAGGAATGAAGGGCAGACAAAAGCTTCCCTCCCCTGCAGATTGATTGCTCTGCTATTTGTTCAAAGCATCACCACCAGCACCATTACTCCCTCAGCTTTTTCTTTATGGTTTCTTTGGGCGAATACCATTTCTGACATCAATGTATCGTTAAAAGAAGCCAATACCATCACTTTCGAAGTCGCCCCCACCCGACGCTTCCCTTTATATTATTTCATTTTCAAACTTGGAATAGCCCCACACGCCCGCACCCTTCCCCACCATTTCTATACTTTCTTTATTATCTCTAAGCTAATTGACTTGACCGCACTTCTTGACCATTGTCATTGCCCTTATTTTCACTGCCCTTTCTCTACCTCTTCCTAGTAATAATGCTCCCAAATTGCTTTTCCTTCTCTCCTCTTCCTCAATCCTCAACAACCATCTCGTTTTCACCTTTTCCTTGTTCTCTTTCAATTTCCCCGCTCACCTAGCTGGCTTTAGAGTTTCACGATTCAATTTGAGATTGTAAACTACTCTGAGTTATGGTACACACATTTAAATAAAGATGTACAATTTCACAAGCTAAGCTCAATTTGTTTGAGTTGATATTAGGTTCAAATCGACTTAATCAGTATATGATTTTGTTTCACTGAATTTAAGTTTTATTTTTTCTTCTCATTAGATCTTTATAAAAGTGAAGAAATAGACAAATCAAAGACTCAATTGAATCGTTTTAGTTATGTTTTCGATCTAGTTTTGACTCTCCTATCTTTTTTTCCACTTTGATTTTACGATATGCCATAGGTTGATCTGGTTTAATAACATGACAGTCTCTGCGGTTTTTTCTCCCAGATCTCTGTGTGTTAGCTTTTTTATTCAAATCTTTGTATTTAAGTTTAGATGTAAATTTAGAGTAAAGAAATTAGCCAAGTAACACCAAAAGTGGTAATTAATGTCTAATAAGTCAAACAACGCTTAGTTATTCGTTGATCACTTGTGATTAGTGATTGCTATAAACACTTCACAAGCTCGACATTAAAAATTACGGTCAAATGATCCCCTTCGCCGGCCCGAGACATTCATATGTTAACACAAAACAAAAATGGGCTGATTTTGATTATATAAGATAGGAGATGGCAGAGCATATATATAAAAACTCCAGGGTGATGATCGTCGGGAGGGAGTAGTATCAAACACTTTAAATAATGAAATGAAATGAAGAATAAATGTGTGCATGGTGATAGGTGTGGCGAGGTAGCTGCTCATCATCAAGATGATGATGATTCATGAGGTAATGTTGAGCTCCCTAAGCATGGCGACCACCTGCAACATGTTCGGCCTCTTAGAAGGGAAATCGTCCACGCACTGCAGCGTGATCTCCAGGTACCTCACCATTTCCTTCACCTCTTCCCCGGCCTCTTTTTCTTCATCCTCCTCCTCTTCTTGCTGCTGCTGATGGTCGTGATTATCTTTACTGCCACGAACCTGCGTCGGCAGAAGGTCAGGATCAATCACTTCTATCTGCTTCCCTTGTCTCACCATCATCTTCACCCACCCAACCAAGTTGGTGTCCCCGAAGTCCTCCTTGTCCGTGGGGCGCTTCCCTGTCACCAGCTCCAACAGCACCACTCCGAGAGAGTAGACATCTCCCTTGGCCGTGCACCGGAAACTCTGATAGTACTCCGGGGGCACATACCCGGGAGTCCCTGCCAGGGTACTGACGCTGAGATGTGTGTCCAGCGCGCTGATGAGGCGTGCCATCCCGAAATCCGAAACCCGAGCCTCCATCTCCTTATCCAGAAGCACATTGCTTGACTTCATGTCCCTGTGGATGATGTGAGGGATGCAGTTGTGGTGAAGAAAGCAGAGACCTTTCGCTGCCCCTCTTGCTATCTTCTTCCTTTCCTCCCATGTCAACACATCCGCCCCGCCCTTGGTATGCCTCCTCCCGTGCAGCACTTCCTCCAAGCTCCCGAACGGCATGTACTCGTACACCAGTAGCCTCTCTTCCCCGACTTTGCAGTACCCTAGCAGTGGCACCAGGTTTCGGTGCTTGATCTTCCCTAGAGTCTCCATCTCAGCCATGAACTCCCTGTCCCCCTGGCAGCTGAGGCGGATGAGCTTCTTGATCGCCACGCACGAGCCATCTTTGAGTGTAGCCTTGAACACCT